CGGCCCAATGGGGGGGGGGGGCGGGGTTTTTTTAAGGGGGGGGGGGGGGGGGGGGGGTGGTATACAGCGTCATCTTCTCGTGGCTGGCGCCAAAGCGGCATATCTGTACATACTCAGTGCGAGTAGGGGCTCTTCGATCGGGACCTTGTGACCAGAACCTATAGTAGAATGCGCACACAACGCGAAAAGAAAATCTTCCACAAGCTTGGTGGTGCCATGTATATCCCGCCCGTGAGTCCAAATGCTGTCGTGCCACGCTACCTCCGCCGCCCGTGAGAACATGAGACGCACCTCGGGTTCGAAGACCACTTCTTGATCTGCGCCAGGCGGTTGATGATGAAGATCCCCTTGCCCTGCGCGCGGTTCGTGGGCTTCATGATCCACTTGGCGTTCGGGCACCGACGAAACTCCTCCACGAAGAGCGAGTAGTCCGCCGGGAGCATGTACGAGACGGGGACGAAATCTGGTCTTCCACGGGACGGCGGTGGGTGGTGCTCTCATTGTTATTAGGATTTATACATATACATGCCACAACACCACTATCAAAGAAAGGCTACTCGTTCGAGAAAACACCGCAGTCGAAGGGGGTGGGTTGAAGTCTTTACAGTGAACGGGGGACAAAAACTGCTGGATACTGGGTGTATTTTCCGGCTTAATAATCGTGATATGCCATGTAAGAGTAACCCGCACTCCTGTAAGTTGATCTATCCCATCGTTTGCTGCAGCATCCTTGAGCTTTTCGGTTGCATGATCGCCTCTGGTTGGCAGGTTTTCGTCGCCGTAGACTAAAAAAAAAGTCGCCTCTGTGGTCGGTAGGTCCCGGATAACACTCACCCTGATTTGGTGAGAGTTCGACGTTACCTGGTAGACCTTGGACGTCACTGACCCCTGGTTGGTGAGGACTCGATTGCATCCAGTTGTAAATGGTAGAACTGGGAAGCAAATAAATCAATCACCTCTTATTGGCGGGTTCCTGTCGTCCTTGGCCTGCTCCTTCAAGTACCTCTTCACGTTCTTCACCATTAAATCTTTTCGAGTCAGCTCGTAATGATTCGGAAAATGGTTCACCAACCTGTGTGCGACAGACAAGAGGCAGCGAGGGTGGGAAAAAAAGGCAACGAGAGATGGACGGGGGGAGGGGCGAGGGGTACAGAAACGCATGTTACCTGCCGCTCCTCACCGCAAGAAAATTCCGCGCGAGCTGCTAGCGGCTCAGAAAGAGTGACGTCGCAGCCTGGGGAGGCTTGCGGGTACGGAGGTGAGTGACGGCCAAAGTTGAGATGCCCCACAGGACGAACGAGGTTGGAGTGTTCGCTTGTCGTTGAGTTGCCTGCCCGAGTTTGGGCTTCCAGGTACGAAACGATCGGCCTCGCACGCGGGAAGCGGCTGGGGATTGGACATAACGGCTAGCTTACGGGAAAAAGTTAAGGGATGGCCTACACACCACTTTGGCAATACCAAGCCGTTGCGTGAGGAAAAGATCAAACTGAAAACAACACCTCAAGACAGGAAACAGGTATGGTATGTGTGAGGGTCTGGTGGTACAACCCTGGATCAGGAGCTAGAGTTTGGTGCGAGAAACAGCGTTGGATCAGAGGGGGTTTTCATCATCACCCAAACGCGCGAGAATGGCACGCTGCAGCAGTACCCCTTGCACCATCCCGGCGCTCTTCAACATCCAAAATGCGAGCGTGTTCTTCTCGCAATTCGGACTCACTGGTCGTCGCCTAATCGAAAGCCAGTCTCCGGGTTGAAGAGCTGCTTGACGCTGTACACGTTAGCCCAGTACACGTTCCAGTCATCTCCGTCGGTCTTGGTCCAGCCTCGACGCTACCGCAAGACGACATCAACAAGGAAAGAATGCACCGAGCGGGAGACAAGAAAATACGGACAACAACGAGAACTGCCATGTCGGCGGTTGGTACAGCAACGACAACCTAGAGACAGTAGCCAGATGATAGGCATCCTCTCCAGAACTGGACGGTCTACAAGCGATCTACAGAACGCGCCATCAGCGGAGAAGCTGGGAGTAAAGAAACCCAGCCTAAGAAAAAGAAAACACTCAAGAACTTGACCCAAGAACAGATTCTCAATCAAGAAGGTTTCACCAGAAACTCGATAGTCGATGTTGGGTTACCCCGCAGAGAAAAACGAAAAGAGCCTTGGGGCAAGAAAAGGGGCAGGTAAACGGTGGCGCGTGCTGCTGTAGCTCCTGACTCAACCCGGCAAGTCGGTTGCTGCTCCCAGCCACTCTATTGTTCTATACCGCTGTTGCTAGTTCTGTTGCGGCTGTGTTGTCCTGTCCTGGTCTCAACCTCGGGTCACCTCGAAGTTGGACACGACGACATTCTTCTCGAAATCCACTTTCCACCTGGTGTGGTTTCGATCGGTCACACGCGAGAAACGAGACAGAGAGAGAGAGAGAGAGAGAGAGAGAGAGAGAGAGAGAGAGAGAGAGAGAGAGAGAGAAGGAAGGCAGGCAGGGTAGAGAAGAGAATCAACACCACGCGAGACCAAGTCGAGAAGAGGCCAAGAACGAGACCGAAAAACCAAAAAGAAAGGACGTTGTTTCAACAACTGTTACAGAACCCAGAAAAACGCTGCTACATGCGCCTTGACGAAAATGCACTACCCACTGCATACCGCTCTCTTTGCATACAGCATAAAGTAGTGGGCCCCAACGCCGGTATGCATCGACCGGCGCTATTCAGAGGGACCGGCGCTATTCAATGTTCGGAATGACTTGGGTGATTCAGTCTGTGTCCAGCAATTGCACCGGCGCTATACAGGCCACCGGCGCTAACCAAGCGGCGTTTTATAGACGCCCCCCAAACTGTATTCGGTTTCGACAACAGCGTGCGGTACGGTGGTGGAAACGTGGAAACCGTCCTGTGGGTGTATGTAGGTGCACACGTAATGGGCGAGCGGCGGGGAGGATCATGAGCTTCATTCCAGATGATCCTCGAACTCTACCATCAGTCCCTGTTTCCAAAAGACGCGCTTCGATAGCGCGTATTCTGTGCTTTGCCGTCGCCCAACAGCCCAACATCGTACTTGTGGGCCTGCGGGGGGCGCAATCGACCGCAGGGTTGTCGAAACTTCGATCGACAACGCTCTTGTTAATACCTCAGCTTTCCTCCCCTATCCGCTTCCCCCCGGCGCCCGCTCATCGCACACGCCTTGCCGACCAGAAACCCCTCCCGCCTCTGCCACCTTGTTCTCAATACGACATGTTGCTGCACCAAAAATGTCAGGTCCAGGTCCCGTTCCTAGCCTCCTTCTCCTCCTGCTCACTGGCGCTGTTGCTGGTGGAGTGCGGACGGAGGGTGTTACTGATGCCACAAGAACCCAGAGGAAAACGTCTCATGCAGCCGGCACCAACATTGTAGATCCAAATGGAACGTGGTGGCAGCACCCACACGCATGTACCCGATGGGATTTTCGGGGGAATCGTTGATGTCACCCCCTCCTATTCCCCGTCCGCGCGTAATCGCCGTCGCTGAGGTTGTCTGACACTCGAAATGCAGTCGGAAGCCGAAGCTGGTTTCGTGCCTCAACCCAATAGATGCATGATGTCCTCCATTCCGAAACGATGAGTAATCAAACCCTACCCGCACCTCTTGCGAGGTAAGCACTCCCTCTACTTGTAAAGTTTACGTGGACGCCTTTTGCAACGTACGGCAGGGTGGGTGCATTCCGACTTGCAATTCCCCCGTGGCTGAAAGCGCGAACATGCCCGATTACACAAGTTCCACCACTTTTGCCCATGAAGGTTGCACAGCAGAATGCAGGATCAACAGACCATACTCACGAGCCATCCACATTTACAGACAAGCTCGTTTTTCAGACCTGAGTACATAGACAATGCTTCGCCTACATGTATGTAGAGTATGCACATATTAGAAGTACAACATTGACATGAGAGGTATGATTCAAATTGGCCTTCAAGACATGGATGCAAGTTGCTCTCTTTATAGCTGCGCGGTGCTCTTCCCTGGTGTAATGCATGCCTCTCTTTGCTGAAAGTCTTCAGTCTTGGGGTTCTCGTCAGTGTAGATATTCAGAGCGGCTTGAATCGAAGATACAGTAGGTAAGTTGGCGTGTACAGCAGTACAGTAAATAGTAGTGTCTTCCACCGGTTGCGTAAGATACCACACCCTTCACCCACCGGCGACTACCCCACGAGGACGAGGAAATCAAACGATATGCTATCGGAAAGTTTATCGAAAAGACGGTTGTTCCATCTCCATCAATTTTTTGCACCATGGCCAATTTTTCTGCGGAGGAGTAAGCGAGCTTTGAAAACCTGCCCAAAGGGGTAGCGAATATCTACTGCTTGCAATCCTAATGCACGACGGCAGTGGCTGTACCGCAGCATCAACAACTGAGAATATCGGTGGGGTGTAAACTCGGTAGCATGCTCATGGTGGGTCCAATCTCGTCAGACCATTAGAACCCTCACCTTCAGAGCTTGAGAAAAACACTCGGCGTCTTTGGCAAGCCGAACCCTACTGCGCTTCGTGATCTGATCTTGAGAATAGCAGCGTACAGCGGTAGCGAAGAGAGTGGATCGTGGGGGGAGACGCGAAGTGGACAGTACATAAACAAAGCGGGGGCAGAGGGGGCTACGTGACTTGAAAGAGAACGCCTCAGAATTTCAAACCAACAGCGTTTCTTCGTATGCGACGCGCGCGCAACTAACTAGCTTGCAGGTTGGACATCCAACAAGGCAGGACTGGGCAATCATCAGGCAGAGCCACGCTTTTTCGAGGGAGCATGACGTCTCCTTGCGACGAAGCGGGCCAAGGATCGCCAGGGCCACAGGGGGATGCAGCGAAGCAGGCGAGAGAGGCAGGGGCAGCGGCGGCGGCGGCGGCGGCCGCGGCCGCCGGGGTGACGAATGTCAACGAGGCCGCAGCACCGATCGTGGTGTCCCTGCTCCACGCGCTCACGTCCGCAGACAATAGTGCGCGCAACCGCGCGGAGCAGGCGTTCAACGAGCTGAAGCAGAGCCAACCGGAGGCCCTCCTGTACGGCTTGCTGGAGGTCAGTGCATTCTCTCTCTAGTGTGGCCGTCTCCGACATATTTTACTTTTGATCGTCATTGCAACAATGATGTGGATGGTGGACGCATCATCAACGCGGATCGTACTTTTCCAACTCATCCGTTCAAGGCCACTCAAAAAATTGTGGACACACGGGCAGTCGCCAGCTGGCCTGCCTCTGCTGTAGCTGTTACACCACAGCAGTCGCGAGGCACTCATGCGGGTGGCTTGCTGATTTGCCGCGTGCGCGTGGTGGCCTAGAACTGCCCACACGTTGCCTCTCTGTTGCTTTTGTTGCCAGTGGTGGTGGGAAGGTGGTTGCATCAAAGCCTGGCTCCAAGCGGCCGTGAGGTACTGTATACCGCTTGATGCTAGGGGTATGCATACAACGCGCGTATGTATGTACGTGCATGCGTAGACGCCTCTGCCTACCGGCGCTTTATGCTACGGCATGTTCCGATGAATGATCGGCAACTCACTAGGACGCCGGTATCTGTCGATAAGCTCGTAGGAACCTACCCCAAAGGATCGGAAAAGTGGTCGTTTAGTCGTTTAGACCGCGCTGAAACATACATGTGTACAGCAGTAGTAGCTTCAACACTTGGTTCACAAGACTGCTGTGTACCTGCGCCAATAGATTGAAATATTATATGCGCGCGTGATTCGAACGAGTTTCAGCGTTCAGCAAGAAAACCGCTGAGATGCACCAAACCGCACGTGAACTCGGTAGACATATGTACAGCAGTAGCGAAGACTGTGTGCCCCAAATGGAAGTACCAACGAAGGTGTCAAGAAGAAACGTGTGGCTGCTAGATTTCTCTCTGTACACCGTTTCACACTGCTGTGAAGGTTGCATTTTATAATACGCGTTTCTGTGTGTGTGTTTATTATTCCTTAATACACGACACAACGAAGGGATTCTCCCCGATACTTTGTCGTTGACCCAGTAGAGAACTACAGGGGATGTATTGTAAAATGTAAGTTACCTATACAGATGTTTTTGTCCTTAGCACCAGCTGGCAACACTGATATAAATCATCAGTGCATAGACTTAAAAAGACTCGAAATAAGTCCAGTACCCAGCCGGTTTTCCCCCACTCACTGGAAAGACTCCACCACATCCCGTTCGACTGTGGGTATATCTCGAATGGGTAGTCTTTCTGTGTGTGTATTTATTATTCCTTAATGCTGCTGGCGTTGAGGATTTGGCGGCGTGAGTACGGCAGGCGAATTCGGGACTGCTGCGACCGCTGACTACATTACAGCCTGCGTACATCTGTGTTCCCCCTCGTACCAATAGAAGAGCGGGGCAGAAATAGTGGGGTCCTTTGGCAAATCATCCAATCATCGCCGAGCAAGGACAATCCCCAGGTCGCCTTAGCGCCCAATTCAAGCGGATAGATCTTCGTAACAATTTTTCTATTCAACAGAAATGAGAGCAAATACATTATTCCTCAGTTCCAGTTCTCTCCGAAATGTGCGAAAGAACAATATTCGTCTGTTGTATTATATATATACCAACAGCACGTCCTTCCCCAAAAGACAGCGATTAGCTAGCTGCCAAGATTCCGTTTCGCGGTATTGCCGGCAGCTCCTTCGTTGTCCGAAAACGTTGATTTTTCCCAGTGAATGTCGACACGGGAGGGACGTGCAAGACCAAACCACAGCACACCAACAGACACCGCCTTCGGCTTTGCCGCGTTACTCATTCTCTCGCGTCCCCCTCCCCCCCCCGGCCCCAACCCGAAGAACCGCCACCGACCGGGTTTCCGTTTGAGCGTGGCCGTTTCGAGATTGGCCCTCGTGGCCGGTCGATTTTACGGCTGCCCAGTGGAAACCTACCGTAGGCGGTTTTTTGGGTTCTGCGTGGCCGGGGGTGCGGGGAGGGGTTGCATGCGGGTGTTGTGAGTTGCGGCAAGTTCTGTGCCGGATCTCGGTCACGTTGATGCGCACATTTTTTTTGTTTTTTGTGGAAGTTTATAGCACGTCCATTCTGCTGGTTCATGTTGTGCCTATGTAGTTGGTGTACACAAAGGGACAAAATTACGTGTGGTGCAGCTTCTGGTTGTCGGGGAGCAAAGCTTGTTCACGCTGCTGAGCGGGCGAATATCTCACGCACTGAAGAGTTCACTGTGGAAGTTGAATCGACCGAATGGGTTCCAACGTCATAGCAGTGTAAGAGCAGTAGTTGCTGTTGCGCTGTTTGGATCATGGTCGACTGACACGGCAAGATATCGACATCGCCTGCAACTGCGATTGGCGTAGGGCGGAGACTTGGGACCGTTTTTATGGTGGTGACTTTTCCGCAGAATGGTCTGCTGGAAAGAAAACCCTCGCACGAACGCCCACCGCAGCTTGAGGTAGAAAACTAGCTCCTTGATTTTTGAAGCGTGCGTTTGGATGTCCCGCTTTCCGCCGCAGGGTATCGGCTCCAAGCACCTGCCGCCCCACGTGCGGGGTCTAGCGGCAGTCCTCCTACGCCGAGCGCTTCTTGTGGAGGAGCCTACCCTCTGGGACTGCCTACCGGCGGCGTCGGACATGGGAAGCGGCCACGGGGCCTCCGAAGGGGGGGGTGGGGCGGAGGTCGGGAAGATGGGACAGCGGGAGCTGCAGGCGTGCTTGCTGCAAATATTGTCTGACGAGGGCGATGCTTCCGTACGAAGAAAGGTAAGCGTTGGGGGAGGATGGATGGATGCTTCTTGTTTTCATCTGTTGGCGTAGGTGCACCAAGTGTGGGAATGAGCGTGGAAGTTTGTATGGTGGGGCTGCAGCCATTGGTGTGGACCCTTTCCGGTTCTCTCGGTTAAAGGGCGCGGCACCGATATGCCCCCTGTCCATGCTAGAACCTGTTGCAGTTTTTGAGGCGCCTCCTCGGGGAATGGTTTGCTGGGTTCGGGTGGCGAAGGAGCGAGTGCATGTGCGAGCGGCACCGTTTCCTTGGAAGAAGGGGTTCACGCTGTTGCGTTTAGGTTTTGGCGCCCGCTTGGAGTCGCAGCCAGCAATGATGCTTACGGTAAACTTTAGCTTCGGCTTTGAACATCCCCGAGCAATACCACCGTTTTTGCTACAAGCTGCATCTGTTCCTGTGGTGTGTAGACTTCGCCTTTGGTATTCCTCATCCCCTTAAGATGCCTGCCCGCCCTCTTCTGTTACTGTGTTTTTTTTTCCTGAACGGGATGCCTCTCCTAGTTTGTTCTCTTACCCCTGAATGACGCACCGCTGTTGTTTCGGCGGACTATAATTGTTTTTATTGCTACATGTAGGTGGGTGACCTCGTGGGAGAGCTCGGACGTGCCGTGCTGGACGAAGACGGCCCCGAGGGATGGCCGGAGTTTCTCCCCTACGTCCTGCAGTCCGCGTCATCGTCGTCTACGTTTTCGGCCACCGCGGCTGCTTCTACTGCGACAAGCGGCAACGCGAACACTAGTACCGCGGGTGCCGCTGGCAACGGTTACCACCAGCAGCACAACGGCTCTGCGGATGCGGGGGCTCAGAAGGAACTCCAGCAGCTGCAGCTGTGTGATGTGGTGAAGGGAGGAGGGGTGGAGGCAGCTGGGACACCCTATGCGTGGGCGACGGTAGTGACGGGGCTTAGGCTCATGTCCTCGGCGGCGCAGCACACCGCGATAGCGGCCGCGGCGGATCCAAGCGCCTTCAAAGCCCTGGTGGAAACCCTTCAGCGGTGTCTGTGCTGGCAGGGGAGCGGAGAAGGTGGGGGGGGGTCTCCGGATGTCCGCCTGGAGGCGGTGCGTGCCCTGGGCTCCGTGGTGGTGGCGTGCGAGAGGCCGTCGGACCAGGCGTCGTTCTCTACGTGCCTCCCGCACCTGCTGCAGGCTATCCAAGGTGACTCTTACAAGTGCCTTCGTGTGCGGGAGTTGCATGCACGTGTTTCGCGTGCCCTCTCTTTGTGGGAACGAACCTTCGCTGTTGAAAGACTCGTGAGGCAGAAAGACTCCAACCTGCTGCGTCCTCGCATGCAGATAGATACCCAGGGTGTCCAGAAAAGGCTTACCTACCGAACGAAACCAATCGGAAATTGTAGCACGTTTTTTGTTGTGTCTACACGCTCGGCCGTTTTCTTTTCCTACCCGGTTTCCAAGTTGGATCGGGGATAAGGATTGGGGACGAGTGTAGCAGGTGCTATGTGTCCATGTGGATTCTGGTGCTCGTTGCACCTGTTGCAGGTTGAGGGCGGTCGAGTAGCAATTTGTGTCTACCGTTTTGGGGAGCTCTGGAGAATGGGTCAGGTTACGTTATGTCCTAAGTCATGTTGGGTGATGGAACGAAACTGACTGACGTGAACATGTATGTCCTGTTACGTGAGAAAGAGACAAGCAAGGTGCCAGTGCCTTGGGGGGACAAGCATAGTCCTTGTCTCTCGGGCACTGTGACAACCGACGAATCGCCCTTCTTCGTCTTTATCGTTCTGTAGATAGCGTAACACGTATGGTGGTTCTCAAGAACCATGCTTCGTAAGCTACACTTAGCAGAAAACCGACCGCGATACCCAAATCCTAACCCTTCGAACATGTTCCCACATGCCACGAACCAAACAAGCGAGTGCCCTCTTGACGTCTGTGCTTTTCCCGTTTCACTTATTTACTGTTTCGCGTCCCTGTGTGCGTGCCCCACTTGTTTGATTGATTTTGTACAGCCACGCTTTCTAGCGGTGAACGCAACTCGGAGAGCCGTGTGTGGTACTGCTGCGAGACGCTGGAACTCGTTGTGGAGCTAGCGGAGGTCTGCCCGGCCTTCCTGAGACCGAGGGTTGCGCAGTGTGTGGCTGGGATGGTGCAGGTGTGTGTGTGTGTGGCTTTTAGCGCCTTGGTGGGATGAGAGAGAGAGAGAGAGAGAGAGAGAGAGAGACTCGACCAGACACGAGAATCGAATGTTGCCTGTGTACATATTTTTCTACTATGCAAATGAGGGGAGAGCGTGCTGTCTATGTACGGTGTTGTACTCGTCTTGGAGCGTGGTCTCCCGTCATCGGGATCCCCACATCTGCTTCTGGATGACCCCCCCCCCCCCACCCCCCCCCCCC